GGGGGACACCACTAAGTACAGGCCTCCAGCTGGACTCCGCACCATTGACAACCACTCAATGAGCAAGAAACCTTCATCCACCCAGAGGCTGGATGCTATGGACCATTAGGTGTGCAACAACATCAACAACAAAAAGTGTCTCTGCATTGAATCACAACCCTAAGCTACCATCCATTCACACCCTATCTAAAGGTGCTCCTTTCACCTCTACCTTTCAAACAGTGAGTAAAGCCAATGGTCTTTACAAATATTGCCATGTCAGAAGCCTGTCCTCTAAATAATAAGGAAGAAGCACGGTTTCAACAATTTTCTAGATAAAGAAAACTAAAGAGCTTCCACTGGTTTCTGAGGGTGGGACAAAGAAAATGTAGCAAAAACTGTTTGTCAAGGCAGATACTACAGTCACCACAATTTTCTATTCTAAGTACAGGGAGGCAGGGGGATGTCAGTATCTCAGATACCACAAAGTGGTGACTTACGAAAATGTTAACAGTGTCTGGCCAACATGCACTGAAAACATGCCAAAGCCCACATGCTATAAAGATGACAATGTATGGAATTTTCTGTAGTGCAATGATACTTTTCAGTAACGTGGAGGGGACAGTGGGTGAGGGTGAGTAGGGAAACAAAAATTCTCAACTAGGAAAACCCTTTTGATAAAAATACCACTAAGATAATATTGAATTCAAAGTATAGCCCCTGCAAAAGTCTTCAGTACCAGAACATAATAAAAAAAACCCCACTTTATCTTTATGATGAAATTATAGTTTATTTTTCCATCATGATAATTAAAAAATTCAGATAAAAAAAACAGATGATATTGCTATCTTTCCTTTCACGGTAAAGGAGGGAGAATGCAATGAACTGAATAGYCAGTCTGTTTCCCCTCCCTTCCTATTTTGTCTTCCCAAACAGCTACTGCAAGTGCAAAGCCTCATTTTTTAATTGTTCCTTGAATAATTTGTTGACAGAAATTCAGGCCATCCATGAACATCATTCACTGAAGGGTCTCCAAGCTAATGTCTTCAAGTAGGGTGACAGAAATTCATAGGTACTTACTGTAACTGAACATCTTTTGACAACCATAAATGAAGCAGAGAAGTGTGACATTTAATATAACTTTCTCCACTTCTTCCAGTGGACATGTTTGAGAAACTCACATGAGCATAAGACTCCTTCCAGCTTCTCTTCTCCTGAGAAACAAATACTCTCAGCTTTCTCAGAGTTCACATTGCAGGATCAAGCAGCCCTTCCCGGCAGCCTCCCCCGGGATTTTTACACCACTCCAGCAGGTGCAACAACGGCAGAGGGCAGGCATATCCTGTTACTTTATTCCAGGAACGCTTCTAGGACATGCAGACCTCCACTGCACTGCACTCTCATGGCATGGGCACTCYGGGTGAGGCCAGCAAAGGATGAGACATCCTTACACCAGGCTACCCTGGGCCCTCGCAGGCTCCTCTGGGGAGGGCTCTGCAATGACAGGGAGAGTCGGGAAAAAAACAGCGGGGAATGTCTGAGGCCATGGAGAAGATCCCTCGCAGAGAACAGCATGTCTGAAACCTCAGTGAAGCGGCTTCTCTGTAGGCACTGCTCTCTAGTGACCGTCTTGATCCCGTCTCTAAAACATTTATAGCCTGTCTAGGCCATTTATAAATGCTCCAACCTCTTTTAGAAAGCATAGGTTCAATCCTGCCCTCAGTCGCCTCTACGAAAAGTTTCCCATTAACATTAATGGTCTCAGCTGAAGCCATAAATTCCTCTAGCTCCCCAGCCACTTGTGCTGACCTTTGCTTAAACTTCCTCAGAGTTGTCATCATCCTTCTGGAAAGCAAGTCCTCCTGTGTTATTTTTCTCTTCATAGCAGTATCCAAAAGTCTTCCTTTTTTTTGGTGCCTGTGATTGTCATCAATAAGCTCTCACCCCAGCACCATTAGTTAGGAAACTACTACTCCTGCAAGGATCCTCACTGTATCTCACTAACTCAACTCGATGCAACACCATTACTCTTTATACTTAGTTCACAGATCTCTTGTCAGCATTCAGCCCACGTATAGAGATTATTAGAATTAACACAGACCTTCAAACCATAGCTGTATTGAATATTACATTCAACAAAATGGAAATAGTCTTAGTGGTGCGCTTTCTTGGTGACTACCAGTTTTGAAGTTTTAACCATAAGGTTTATCTAGTAAGGTTTATCTGTCAAGGTCTCTTACTACATTCATAATGCTTATATTCATTATGAGATACAAACATTACATTGGTATTCAAATGCCTAGCATCACAGGGCCTGCTACATTTCTACTGCCTGCTAAGTAGTAGTGTATTATTACCYTCCTTTTACATATGGTAAGTCAGTAATGGTGATCATGGCCTGCAGCTCACCACAGCCAAACAGGCCAGGTGTTGTCCCCAAGCCTACGGCAGCCTGTGCTTGATCCTCCCAGATTGGAAAGCCAGCTACAGATGAATTTTAATCACCTGGCAGAGTTATCCAAGAGGGCTGCCTGTGTTTCCCTTCTTCAACACTAGCATCCCAATCAGTTTCCTTATTGCCTCAGAGGCCAAATTTCATTGAAAATGTGCCCAAGACCTTGCAAGAGATGTTTGTGCAGCCATATGAGCTGTATCTGTTCTCTCCAGGCCTCAGACGAGCCACTGGCTATGGGAAACAACTTCTTGCTATTGCTTCTTCCACTTCTGGCTTTCATTTCTGCCACAGTGAAAGTGGCATCTTTCACTATTCAACATTTCAGACAGTCAACCCCAAGAAGCTCCTCATTTCTTTCACATTTGGGGAGATTTTTCCATCTTCACAGAGGTAAAATCTTACCTGCAATGCAACCCATGTTACCACAAAGCAGATTAAGTACACTAGAACAAGTTACTGCTCATCTTACCTCTCCATAGAGGACTTAGCCCTGCCTTGCTCTTTGAAAGGGCAGTTTCTGGACTGAAGCTACTGGCTTGGCTCAAAGCTCTTGAGAAGTGTTCATCCACTACTGAACCAATATCTCCATGGAAGTAAGTGAAAAGGACGCAGCGAGAGTTAAGGTACTCCATCTCAGCAGGCTGGTCTTTCTCATCTTCCTCTTGCTTGCTGGGAAGGGTCACTTCCAGGGACTCCTGCATCTTGTTGTATATAGCTAACTTCTTCTGGGATTAAAAACAAAACAAATAAGAGATGTATCACTAGTGGCATTCAATGGAAACACAACATCTGTTTTCTGTAAAGAAAAATATCTGAATACATTGAATATTCATTTCAAAAGTAAAGTTGGAACACAGGAATGTTTTGCACAAAGGTCTGACGAAGAGCTTACCAGTGCTGCCTAGTTTTTACTCTTCACACATGGACAGACCTCATTCTCAGACACATTTCACAACCACAATTAACTTAATGGCAACTGCTTTCGCTCAATATCTTCAAAAGAGAACAGTCAGACTCTAGCAATTCATTCCTGTCTCCCACCTGGAAAGGATATTCCCATCAGTGGAGACTACAAAGCTTGAGCTGAGCCCTGTGGAAGGCTCAGGCCAGATACTGCCTGTATTTCACACATGTAGAAGAGCAGTGACTGGTTTTTGCTACCCATGCTCCCATTGCTGAGGGTACATAGGTCTCTGACCCCCCAACACCTACCTACTTATTGCCAAAGGCACAGCAATGCCACACAAGTCGAGGTGAGAGAAGGCTTTCTGGAAAGTCTTCTGCTGTATTATAAAAATTCATATAACACAAAGTATGTCATTTACAGGAAAAAAAATCATCATGAGAAACTGTATCTTCGACTGGGTTTGGAGGACATGTATGTGCATGTTTTAAAAGAAAAAAAGAAGAAAAAAAAAGAAAAAAGTTTATGGGAGAAAGGACAAAAATGCATGTCAGAAGTAATCAGAGATGTGATCTGGGAACAAAGGAACTGACAAGTCTACAAACACATACAAAAAAAAAAATCACCAAACCAAAAATGCAGAGAAGCATTTTTAAAAAATAATAAAATCAGCACAAGCCATCTGCAAAAGGCTATTTCAGAATCTTCTCTCTCTCTCTCTCTCAAATCAAACCTAAATGTCAAAATAAATGTGTGTGAAGATCCATTTTGCATGGAACATATTTTTCAGATGTTCCACTTTACAACTGTTTTCACAGAAGAAAAAAAAAAGAAAGCTCCCCACAACAGCCAGGCTGCAGGAATCACAGCTTTTAGCTAGCTAGCCATTTCCACAGCTGACTTTACACACAAACAGCTTCAGCAACCCCAAAACAGCACATATCATAGCTTTTCTTTAGAATTACAGTTTGACTCATCTTCTATGATTTGCTTGGCAACACTTTAGCGCCATCAGAATCTCTTTAAGTTTACCATTTTCTTCCTTTTTTTCTAAAGTTGTTGTACAGATCAAGTTGAATGGCTACATAGTCTATAAAGTTCCATTTAGATAATAAAAAAGCTAGTTTGATTTAGAAATAATTGGAAATCATTTTATCATCCTGTATACCACAGATATATTCACATTCTGTGCTTTTTAAAATTATTTAAGAACACACCATCACACACAGTTGCCTCATCGTACTATGAAAAAGAAACTCTGGAGCTAATTCTTATGAATGGTTATTAGAAAAAATAGATAAAATAGACATCTCTCCAAACTTTCAAGTAAAATTAAAACCTATAATACTAAAAGCTCAGAGAAATTAAGTGATACTCCTAAAATTACACTGGATTAATTGATAAAAAATGATGGTTCAGTAATAATTTTAACTCTGATTCTGTTGTACAAAATGTGGTGAGGGATGTAAGTTATTTTATTTTATAATTTTCAAGATCTAAAGTGCATTCAAACACTGTACAAAGAAAAGTTGTCCTGTAGCTCTGCTTAGCATGGCATTATGTATTTTAGACATATGGTTTTATCTGAGCATTCAAAAACACATAAAGRAAAACTGTGGGATTCACAAAGTTAAGCAAATTAAGAACAATTGCTAGAAATTAATTGCTAATGTGAAAGCACATTTTGAAGCTATGAATTAATTTTCTGAAAATGTAGGACTTGAGGTGACATAGAGAATATATTTTTCAAATGCTTTGTGTCTTCTCTAAAGGAAAAAAAATGTTTCTAATATTTTCTCCTGACATGATTACTAAGTTCCACTTAAAAACACTTTTTTTTTTCTTATTTTTTTAAGAGACAAGTCATGAAAGAAGTCTAAATAGATATTGATGTATTTGGACATCTCAGATGCATGGCTATATACCCATAATATACATAACACACTTTAAAACTTGATTTCTATCATTAAAGATATACTACTTGTATTTACACTGCAAGTATGCAAATAAATATACAAGCACACAATTATATACAGAAACACATCCTTTAATATAGCCCCTGGCTTGAGTTGGTTATCAGGAAGGAAGTCTTTCAATATTCCTATATAGAGACTGGAGCTCAGGAAATTAAAACTTATCTCCAGAGTCGCTTCTCTGTGCAGGAATGTTCCCCCTTCCACTGCCTAAGAATCTAATTCATTTTCCATTTCAGCTTGTGTCCCTACCTCCATCCATCCAGTCCATGCGAGTCATTACAACATACTCAGAACACTTGCTCCGTTTTCAAAAACAGGAGAGGTAGTACTGACAGACTGAAAGGTAGTATTGACAGACAAGTACAAGCCTTTCTGTACACRCTGTAATTATTTATAGTGAAAAGCTATGTTTTCCAAGTTTTTTTTTAAGACTTGTAAATTAAAAGATTTTTCAAAACTGCATCAGGCTTATGATGAGACACATATCGCTGTAATTTCTATTATAGGAAGAAACTATCACTGATTTTTTCCTCTATAATTATACAGTTTGTTAAATAACAAGTTACAATGAGATAAACAGCAACTTAAGTTTTCCCTGTCTATACAGTATATGTCATTTCCAATGCACACATCCCTTAATATAAATCACTGTTTTCTTCCCGTTGCCCCTTAAAATACCTCTGCCTGCATGCAAATTTTGGGCTGCTGCTTCTGACCTTAAGAGTGATCTTCTCATAAGCATTTCCGACTGCACTTGTGTGAGTGGAAAAGTATGTGCGATGATCAACTGCTAAATGAATTCATTGTGGGGGGGAAAGAGCTTAGGTTTCTTATAACTAATCTGGCTTAGCCCCTTTTCGCTTGCRCTTTTCTTACATGAACAGTTCTGGCATACATTTAAGCAGCCAGCACTGTCTATAATGTCTCTACATAAAATGAGCATGTTCTGACTGAACACAATGTATTTCATGATTCTGTTCAGATTTCCAGTATTTCCATGCACTCATGATTTCTTCCTCTCTTTTCTTTAACAGCTAAGGACTAAAGTCAAGCTGTCTCCAGGAGTAGGGGTAGCAGGGGAGTCATAATCATCATCATAAAATTATCACATTTTGGCAAAGGCCCAGAACATAGAACTAGAATTCAGATTAACGCACTGAAAATCGGGTAGCGAAATGGGCAATTCAAGCATGAGGGCACCTGATATCAAATTAGATAATACACAGCGGGGAGGAGGAAAGTAAGTTCGTAGCTAAAGAATGACTGGTAGTTCCACCAAGCAAATTAAGCTATGTAGCATAGGCTACACTCAGTTAACACCCAACATTATTGCTGTTATTCCATATATTCGCAAACAAYATCTTCCAAACAAGGATTTTAAATCTTAATTGTAAATAGCCTGAAGAACCCAAAGRCCAATAGCAAGTCACTAATAATGGAACATTAAAAAATGAAGGCTTATATTGGATAAGCATGATCATCCTCTCTTCTGGAATTAAAAAAAGATCACTCAAATCTTTTACACCAACAAAGAATGTGGTCCAAAATCTCACACAAAACCCTTGTCTTGAAGATCRCTGTTATTTTCTGACATATCCTGTCCAGAACCAAGCAAAACTGTTCTCATGCAGTGAAATCCTGGCCACATTAAAGCCAATGGCAAAAGTCCAATTGACTTCAAGGGTCCCGGATTTCACTCATGGTGTCTGGTAAAAATGTCAGAACATTCTTCTCATAAATTGAAAAAATTTCACTTCCAGCTGAAACCAGCTAGTAGACAGCCAAACAAAGACACTAAGCACAGTTGAGATGGGAGAAAATTTCCGTTTAGTAAAGTTAGGACTGAAAATTCAAGTCAGCTCCTACTTTACGTATCAGTTGGTTGCCTACTCCTACAAGTTACTATCTCCATACATGCCATCATACAGCATATGGTCCTTTACGCTCCCAAGCATGAAAGTCTGGTGTGTCTGTGGCCACCTGTTACAGATTTTCCATTATGAGAGAAAGAACAGGAATCGAAAATAAAGAATAACTGCAGTGAGGAAACACTATATGATCCTACCCCGAGAAAAAAACTGTCGTTTGACATAAGCTTCTGAGAAGGAATTTCAGTAACAAACTCTAGGCAAAACACGGACAGCCCCTCCGTTTGTGAAAGTGCCGGTCGAGCAAGCTCCTATTGATAACACTGGAAGTATTCAAGAAAGACGACAAATTCAAGCAGTTGCAGACTGGAATGCCAGGCCTGAGAGCTGTATTTACTGCATGCCTTGGGAACACGAAATGCTACCTTTGAGCCTTGCTAAAGAGCAAGCACAGAGCAAAGCTCAACACCTCCTTTTAGGTGAGGGGCTGGATTTGCAGCACTGGAGACGACAGCGCCTGGACTGCGCTGCTGAGGGAAGGAGGAGGCAGAGGAAGAAAGAATTTACACAACATTTTTCATGCTCCTTCTAAATGGAGGAATACTGTTAAAGCCTAAAGCTTTGTTTCCATGTAGCTAGAGGACGATCAAATAGTGCTTGGATCCAATCAGAAGAGCAAAATAAAGCCGACTACTTTTTTTTCCTTTTCTTTTTTCTTTCTATATCAGCAGGGTCTCACAAGCGAAAGAAAAACAAAAACAGAGTAAGACTTAATCCAGGTTTTTCATGCCATGAAGTATACAGGTCTGATTTAATTTCTGGTGAAGACAGTATTAGGGCACCCCTCAAGCTTCGGAAAAACCTCGAGGGGGCATCCAAAATGCAAAAACTAAATGTGAAGACATCCTCTGCAGTGTTAGACACTGAGGAATGCCACTCGCACACAGTGTCTTTCAGCATTAGTAATACAAGCC